GTTTGGACATTAGGACGTCAGTTTCAGGCTCCTTGCATGCCATCACAGCCAGTTTAGACATCAGCTTCAGCCCCCTACGCACGTGTTAATTAAGACGTGTAGTGGCGTCAGCATTAGCCAAACGTCGCCACTTCGGCTTATATTTTACTTCACTTTTCCGTAGCACCCTACATTGTCCCCATTTTCTCCGCAGGCCGGCAGGCGGAGTGAACGCCTGAGTAGGCGTCTTGTTCCAATTAGGATGTTAGGGTTTGTAATCCAAGTGAAAATATATACATTTTAAGACCTAACCAGGAACGACTGCGAAAAATGCAGCACAAGGTCCTCTGGTAGGAATCGAACCTACGGCCCTGCGATTCCAGTGCAGCGCTCTAACCAACTGAGCTACAGAGGCCAGCTGTTGAGCTGTAACCGTAAGTTCATGTATATATACCTAATCGGGTGTGCGGGTTGTGATAAGGTGAACTTGAATAACTTAGTTCTTGCACTTCACTAAGTGAAACTTAAGTTATTCAAGTGTAATTCCAACACTACCGAACAATCTTTCTATAATTCTTACGATATGTAATAATTATAAAGCACAATGCCGAATACCTTCGACGTAATCAGTTTTCCAGAAGATATTGCCTCCGAAAATTTACCGCACCCTCCCCTCCCCTGACGATTGTGGTGTGTTCAAATTAAAATTCTGTTTCCTCTTTGAAACCCCACACGCAAGAAGACGCTCACTGGCTTTATCACTAAATTATATTTATTTAATTCTATTCTAACCCGAATTCTACACATAATATAATGTAGTTTGAATGCACAGATTTTATAACAACAGTTACAGGTAAACTACGTGAAGCGTTCCTCTTTCGAGTTTCTAAATTAATTGCAATTTTCTTCATTACCTTTGCAATTTAGAAAACTCCCTTGCAAATGCCTTGAGGGAATTTGCAATGTTGCTAAAAGCCAATTAAAATTTCCTCGGTTCCTGTTAGAAGTTCCTAACTTCCTGTTCTTTTCTGCGCGTTGCAATTGGCTAACAAAAATAATCGACCAATAACAACGCTCAGAACAGAACAGAACAGGAAGTTAGGAAATTAAAACAGGAAGTTAGGAAAATTTAAAATGAAATTTTTTTGCATTGGAATATTGCAACAGCCGACAAGAACATAGCAAATTCCCTCGAAAGATTTGCAAAGAGTTTTTCAAATTTGCAAAGCTAATGAGGAAAATTCCAAATGAGTTACGAAGTCAAAAGCGAACACTTCACGTAGTTTACCTGTAATCTGAGAAACACGTGTTCTGGCTTACACACGCGATTTTCCTGCCGTTTTTTTGTTCACTACCAGCAAACAATTTCACCGACAGTGAAATGTTTTCATTCCACTAAACTAATATCTATGTAAGGTGAGCTGCACGCAAAGAAAGGTGAAACACGACGTGCAGTGAACTGATAGTTTTTACCACCATAAGTCAGATTTCCCCGCTTCACGTTCAATGTTCTTTTTTGCATGTCCAGAGTTAAGGAAATATCTTCACTGCTACCAAGTCCGACAGAAAGCTTATAAACCCACTTCTTTTCGCTTTGAACAATATCTGCATTAATTTCGTCATAGTCAATGATTCCAACTTCAGAACTGGTATGTCCCCCTTTGTGGTAATTTCGATTATGGTACCCATCGCTGTAGTCATACAATCGAACTTTCCACGTGTGAACTCCGGAATCAAAGCAACATCCACCTACTCTCCAACAGTATTCACCCTCACCACCTTCACCCCGCATTGTAAATCCACCATCAGTGATAGCACCTTTACCATGAGAATTACTTATAACCCAGTTCACTTGTTTTGTCAAAGAACAATTTGGAGCAGGCATTCCACTGATGAATACCTCGAACTTCAACATGCCACCCCGACCAGGACAAAAGCTGATAGTGTAGGAGCCATCTTTATTATCAGTAACGGCAACATCACTGACCTCCATTCCAGTGAACCACGGTTTGATGTCCTGACCTCCGTACGTTAATCTTCGGTTATTTTTGTCGTGACAGATTAATGTTACAGAGTATTGTTTCCCAGCATCAAACATTTTTTCTTTTTCCTTGAAGGAAGCGTGGCAATATGTGGGTTCGCTGGAGCAACGTCTACATCATATTTTGTCAACAGCTTTTTCTTTGTTTCCTGCACCAACGAAGGAATGATAAACACCATGTCTTCAGTAACACAAGGCCTCGTTTGATCTTTAACTGTTTTCAGCTGCTCCAAAGACTGCAAAATGTACTTCTCCATGCTTAATATTTGAACATCGTTGCCATTCTTGAACGCTTGCTCTGTAAACTCGATGCTGCTTTCACAACTTGCTAAAGCCACTTCTAAGATCTCTAACTGTGTATGAATCTGCTTTTGTTTGGAATTCGTCATTGAAGTCGCTTTTTCCATCATTTCTCTTTTCCGAGATTCCACTGCTTTCAAAAGTTGATCGAAGTGGTGACTGATTTCCGAGATTGTTGACTTCTTCTTAGCCTCCAGACCTTCATTAAATTTCTTCAGGTTTACAATTCCTTGTGCAATTCTTCCTTTTCTTTGCTTTACTTCGTTAAGATTGCTTTGCAAATGACGTTTTTGTTCGACAGCGACTTCTTCAACAAATCCATATTTATGCCCCTGATGATCAACGATGGTGCAATCTCTGCAGATGGTTGTTTGACATGTTTTACAAAACAACTTGATGACTTCTTCCTTGTGTTTGCGACATCGCATCTTCTCAGCAATGTTCTGTGGACCTGCATTGGATTTCAATTGCTCCATGGTCACCAGCTCATGGTGTTTCGTTGGTCGAGATCGTTTATGAAACTCGGAACAATATTGACAAAGAAATATTTCACATTCATTGCAACGGCTTTGAGCAGCATCCTCGCTGTCACAGTTGTCGCAAACAATCTTCCTCGCAGAGGGTTGGTCATTAGTCAGCGCCATTGTTGCCAGAAGATTGTTGACGAAGAAGTTTGATGGCAGAGTAGAAACAGTGGTTTCGTCGACCTATGCATTGGATAACGTTTTTAGAACAAGTAAATAAAAATTTAAATTATTAAAGGGGCTTTCTTGAAGTCCAACTACGAGTTGGTTAGCCAGGTTATCAAACAACTGAAAAATATCCGAATATTTTCCATAGAGAAAAGAGCAGTTAAAGTGGCTTGATATAATTATCACAAAAACCCTGCTAAAGAATCCAGAACAAAACTGGGCGACCATTTTCACGCGCAGGTTGAGGGAACTGATTAACGAAATGAAAGAACTTCCAAAATGACCTGACGTGAGCAGTTGCTTGCGCCATCTCACGTCATTGCGCGTGTTCTATAGTGTTTTATGTCAATTGCTGACGTCATTAGAATTTTCCATTTTAGGAAAAGAATGCGCTATATCTCTCTATTTTGTCTGGTGCTAATTTTGCATGCTATATGTCACCGCTAAAAACGTTCATTATACAGAAAATAAGAAAATTCTGTAATGCCAAAAACATTTTACAGAAGACTACGACATTTTCGCATTTTCAAAAAAATGGCATTACATAATTTTTTTATATTTTGCAGATTGTTAGTTTTTCTTTAATTTAAAATAACGCACGGAAAAAAAATGGGGTCACCATGCCATTTTGGAGTGAATTTCGTACACGTATGTCGCCATAGCAACGAACTATATGTTACCAAATCTAGTATAATTTGAAAGTAGATATCAAAATATACAAAACCCCAATATCTGCAGAATAGATTTTAAAAATGCATAGTTTGAACATGTCAACGTAGGTTGAACACCTGAATTTTTGAAAAGTGTATTGAGCCACCTTAAAGCAAGGACTAAAGCTTACGATAAACAACAAAACCAGGTACATATCAGAGTACAGATCGAGGTACATGCATATGAAGCTTTTAGATCTACGGAAGGTTTTAAAGTAATTTTTGAAGATTTTCGTTTGCTCACTTTGTTTCTGAGATATTGCAGTTTGTTTTTATATCTTATTCACTATCGAGGTTTTTTGGGGTTTTTTTTTAATACCTATATGTAAAACACCATTTAGCCTTTTTATTTCATGATATTTAACTGTACCTTACATTCTTTGCATTGATCAGTCATTATTCATATATATGTGACGTATTCCGGACATTTGCATATCAATAAAACTGAAACTCAGAGACAAAGTGAGCAAATGAAAATCTTCAAAATAAGCTATTATATTATTTCAAAGGTTCTTAAGATTGAAATGATAAAAATAGTTGAGGTTAGGTGCACTTTAAGGCGCTTTTACACTATGCAATTTGTCTCGCAATTCTGTTGCAACATAAGTTGCACATCCCTCTTGCAACTAGTCTCACAATGTTTATACACTGAGTGGTTTCCTATTGACTTTTGACTGTCAATATGGCGCCAAACGTTAGCACTCACGGTTTTTATACTATTTTTAATAATGATCATTGCAAGTTGCATGGAACATATTGCTTGGTGTAACATCCCTTGCAATGCAATCCTAAATCGTTTTTCTTAACATTGCAAGTTCCGAGACAAGTTGCTTAGGGTAACAGCGCCTTTACTCCGAATTCTATATGGTGAACATATACGTTATAAACTATGGAAACTACGATTTATATAGGAACTAAAAAAGGTGAAATATTTTGTGGGATACGATAAAGGAGAGAGATTGAAAATGAGTAGGAAAGGCAAGTAGGCAACCCTGAATACGTTTCGACCTAACAGTCTTCTTCCGCAGGGTTTTTTTTAAGGGGAGTGTAGGTAGAATTTGCAGAGAAGGAAGGAGAGTTTAGGAGTTTGGATAATAATGTGAGACCAAGAGAAAAACAAATTATTACGAAGTTATTGAAAATAACCAAATACCCAGCAACAAAAATGAAAAATGGAAAGATAGTGAAAATGATATAACTACATAAACTGCTACATGTTATTTGTTAAGTTATCCTACCAAAGGTCTTGTTATAGTGCAAGACATTCCAACACCACGTATTTTGTTTGTTCATCTTCTCAGTTAATTTTGAAGTAGAGCAAATGACAGATCCTTTTAGAGATAGGTTACTCAATAGTACAATGAGTATGAGTGATTGTAATGGTAAGGGTGGAGTAGGATTTATATTGTAGTGTGATCATGTGACTGTAGGTGATGCATCCTAACATGGTGAAGGGAGCTTAAATGACAGGGATAGGAACGTTTGGCAATAATAAGTGATCCGTAAGGGATAAACATTAATTATTACACCGTGCAGGGTTTAATTTTATAAAAAATATGAGTATGCAGTAATAACTAAAATATGTACATATATGACAAAGCCAGAACAGTAAAATGAATGAATGATACGATATGATTTATCATTGTACTTTGTTATTTTAGTTATAAAACATGCCAGGCATGATTGTGTTACTTGAACAAGGAATCAATGAACCAAAAGATATCATTTACTTTAATAAAATAATAACTGTCCTGCTTTTTTAGGTATTCTTGTTTATTAAAAATGTCATTAATTAAAAAAATTTGCAATGTTTTTCCTTGCACGAATTTTCATGACCCCCCCTTTCCTTGCATAAAAATTAGTGACCCTCCCCCATTTTGCACCAGCCCTCCTCCCATAATTAATGACCGGTCCATAAGGTAATTATTATGAGCGGTCGCCGTAGCAACCTGAACGTCTATCGGCGAACTGACAATACTTTTACTTAGGGGGAAAAATAGTAATATAGACCTTCCAAGGCTAAGTAGGAAACTTAGGAACAAAGTCAAGACTTATATACGAAAAATCTTAAACAGAACTTTGCAGTTGCTAGGCATAAGTTAACATGGTTGTCAGCGCCGTTGTCATGGTCGATATTTGCACAAGTCGTTAGACGGTCATTAATCCGCTTCTTGAATCCTAAGATTGAATCATTGAATCATAAATTGAATCATTGATTCTTGAAGACTGAATCATTGAATCCCAAAATTCAATCATTGAATCCTAAAATCAGTAGATCTTTTAATCCTAAGATTGAATCATTGAATCCTAAGATTGAATCATTGAATCCCAAAATTGAATCATTGATTCTTGAAGACTGAATCATTGAATCCCAAAATTCAATCATTGAATCCTAAAATCAGTAGATCTTTTAATCCTAAGATTGAATCATTGAATCCTAAGATTGAATCATTGAATCCCAAAATTAAATCATTGAATCATATAAGATTGAATCATTGAATCCTAAGATAGAATGTTGAATCTTATTATATAAAGTATAATGCTCTACAGAGATTTCGAGCAATGATATAAAACTGATAATCTCACATGTGAGATTATTTATGATAAT